GACCCGATCCCGTTTACTTAGTACGTTTTTGAGATATAGGCACCCTGGTGATGATCACCACTGGTTATAGTTAGATTTATTCAATTATAATATTCAAAAATTTTTACAGAACAAAAAATCAAAGTTCTTAATATAATACGCGTATAAAAAAAAATATTGGGTATAAAATCTCAAATAAACATGTTTACAAGGAAAAAAAATTCTTTAAATGAAAAAAAACTTTTCTCATAATCTACGCTGAGTCGTATCTTAAAAAAGAATAATACTAGTGTTCCTAAAGTTAATGACGTTTCACTTTTATAATTTAATTTTATAAGCTTTGTTATCCTTACATACTTCCGAAATTACTGTAATATACTTTACTTACATATTAAGTATGGTCAAATTTCTTTATAATAGTGCCTTTTATAATGAACAAACTAAAAATTTTAAAAATTAAATTATTTCTGTTATAGAAACAATTCAAAGTCAGAACGGTTGATGAAACACGTGGTGGAAGTTTCTTTAAAAGGAAATTTTACGAATGCACTGTACATACTGAAATAAAAGTGATCATTTTGTGGCCGGTTAATGCGCCATCAACTTAGCACACATTCAAGAATTGCGAAGATGACTGCATATATACATAATAGTTTAAAAAATTGGCCAATCATATGATTTTTTAATAGGGTCGCCATGAAATAATGCTTTTTAAAATAATCCAAGTTTATTTTATTAATTATTTTATCTAAATTATGATAAAATGCATTTATTAATCTAAGCATTGAGCTATTCAAATTCATTTATTCTATTTTATTTTCATTAATTTAATGCTACGAACGTTTATTAACAAAGTATTTAAAATAGGCTATTCATGTACTGTACTGTACATTCTATTAAGATAATAAAAGGTTATAAAAAAAACGGAAATTCAGTGCCAAACTAATAGTCATTATTATATGTGGTGTTACATATTAAAACATGTAAATTTTGGCATGCTGCGTAACGTATCACGAGATTACACGATAGTCACCTGTTACATTTAACCAATCAAAATCGTGAAATTTAAATCCCGAAAATCAAAACAAAACAATTATCAAAATAAAATATAATACGTACTGTACGTAAGTTTATGGCGATCCAGGGGTAGTGTAACATATGACATATATATCATGCTTCTCGTATTTTTCTAACTCATCTACGTAGTATTCAAAATGGATTCGTTATGCTCCGACATAACTTTAAACTCTATTTTCATGCGCACTTGTCAATCACTGGAGCAGAATTATTATACCTATGGTATGGAGTGAACCAGCAGAAAGACATTATCGGCCTACGATACGTATTTGCCAACGTAGAGGACATGAAATTAGACGTCAAGATTTACAACCTCTGGAAGTAATATATCCTTTCCATAGAGTTGGAATTGATATTAAAGGACCTTTACCTACGACAAAACAAGGCAACAGATAAATACTCCTTTAAACATTAAATTTCCAATTCACCCGTGGCCGTTATTGTACGAATACACATATCAAGACCGTTGAACTTGAAAACGTCGTCGAAAGTGCGCTGATTTCAATGTTCCTACGAACTGGAGACAACCTTAAACATCTAAATCTGACCTACGTAGTATTCAAAATGGATTCGTTATTATATACTCCTTTAAACATTAAATTTCCAACTCACCCGTGGCCTTATTGTACGAATACACATATCAAGACCGTTGAACTTGAAAACGTCGTCGAAACTGCGCTGATTTCAATGTTCCTACGAACTGGAGACAACCTTAAACATCTAAATCTGAATAATGAAAATATTTGCAATTACCAAGTAATTAAAAGCTTTGGCGATAATACCACTGTTACTTCTTTATCTTTGAATTTCCCGGTTAGCCTTAAAAAAGATCAAAAAAAAGGGCAATAAATGGGTTGATAGAAATCCTTTATAGAAACAATACTTTGACTTCTTTACATCTGAATCAAAACGTTCTATCCTCAAATAAAGTGGGTTTAGAAGTACTGGTAGACGTTCTTCGCAAGAACAATACAATGGAAAATATTAAACTTCAACGTAACGGTCTAGTATCAAAAGACATAAGTATACTTTGCAAGTGGCAAAAAGACAATTTAGCTTCAAGAATAGATTATATATAGTCAGGAGAAGGTTTTCAAACTCTTATTACAGGACTCTACCCTGACATCGTTAGATGTTAGTTACAATAATCTTAAACTAAAAGGACTACAAACATTAGAAATCGCTCTTTGCAAGAACATTACGCTACTAAGTTTAAATATTCGTATGAATGACTTTGGATCAGAAGTAGGGAAAAATTTAGCAGATGCAGTTTGCAAGAACACCACACTGACTTCTTTGGATCTTGGTGGAAGCAAGTTCGGAGAAGACGGTGTAAAGCATTAATAGATGAACGTTATAAAAATACTACGCTAGATTTTTTCTATTCTTATTAATAAATAGATTACCACTCACGTTGTTTACGATTACCAATTGAATACCAAAATTGTTTAATATAAAAATAAAATATTTGAATAAATGTTAAATAATACGCACAATTATATACATTTATCTTAGTTTAAATGAACACTTAACAATTGTTATATGGGGTGTTACACATTAAAAGGGCCCATTTTTACGCATAAACATTTTGAGTAAATGATGATCTACAGATAGAAACATATATAAAATTTTCTACTTAAAGTTCATTTTGTGAATATTTTTATTATATAATGTTGTTTTTAATTTCACTGATTAATAAAATGTTCTTTAAGTTCACGAGAAGAATAGAATAATAAATGTTCTTTAAGTTCACGAGCAGAATAGAATAATTGATACGAATTAATGAGCTGAAAGGTATTAGGTAATAGAAATTAAGTATTTATATGCGTGATTATCAACTTGTTTTACTGTTTTCAATTCCACAGATTAACAAATCTTCTTTATTTCGCACGCAGAATGAAATGATTTGAAGGATATTACGAATGAAATGTATTAGATAATGGGTATTAAATATTTATGTACATGATTGTAAATTTGATTTGCTGTTTTTGCTTCCATAGATTATCAAATGTTCTTTATTCTCACGAGCAGAATGAGTAATTAATGATTAGTGCGAATAAAATGAATTGAAGAGTATTGAGTAATAGGAATTAAGTATTTATGTTCGTGATTGTGAACTTTTTTTTTGCTAATTTTTAATTCCATTGATTAATAAATGTTCTTTATTTTTACGAGCAGAATGGAATGACTAATGCGAATTAAATGAATTGAAGCCTATTAGGTAATGGGATTAAGCATTTATATTCATAATTGTGAGTTTGGTTTGCTGTTTAATTCCATTGATAATAAATGTTTTTTATTTCAAGCAGAATGGAATAATTAATCGAAATAAATGATTTGAAAGATACAGTATTACTGTAGGTGATGAGGAATTAAGTATCTATGCTCGTGATTGTGAATTTTTTTTGCTGTTTTAATTCCACAGATTAATAGATTCTCTTTATTTTTACAAGCAAACTGAAGAAACGATTAATGCGAATTAAGTGAATTGAAAAGTCATTAGATATTAGGAAACTTTCACAGATTAATAAATGCTTTTGTTCTCTTGAACAGAAATAGAATTATTACTTCGAATGAAATGAATTGAAGGATATTAGGCAATGAGATTAAGTATTTATGTTCGTGATTGTTAACTTGTTTTGTTGTTTTTATTCCATTGATTAACAAATGTTTATTTTTACGAGTAGAATATAATGATTAATGCGAATAAAATGAATTGAGTTGAAGGTTATTAGGTAATGGGAATTAAGCATTTTTGTTCATAATTGTAGACTTGTTTTGCTTTAATTAATGATAATAATGTTCTTTATTCTCACAAGCAGAATGAAATGATTAATCAATTTATCGCGCTTTGCAAATTGATGTGCCTTTTGATCAAAATTTGTGGATCGCTGCATACCCGTACAATCATTTGAACAATCACCTGAAGTTGTTCGGTTGCGCGATTATACAATGATTTTTAGTATGCATAGATATGGCTGACAGACTTGATGAAAATAATATTGAATCTTTGACCAAAAAACGCGCTTTCTATCATTTACAATCACAATCAGACAACAATCAGGTGATTGTATGGGTGTGCATCTACAAATTTGACATCAATTTGCAAACCGCAATAAATGAATTGAAGGGTATTAAGTAATGGGTAAGACTATATTAAAATATATAAAAAAAATCTCCAAGCAATGATTGAGTTGGAACGTGAGAATTCAGTTTAGATCTTTAAATGGGTTATGACAATTAAATCTATATTCAATAAAATAGATCTATGAAATAATTGAATTTTAAATGTGCAGCAAAAGAATCTTAGCATTGTGATTATGTAGATAATGAAGTGAATCAAAGTTCAAGTTTGATTTCGTCGATAGTCTCAAAACGTCATTTTCAAAATAAGATACTTCAAAGGTTTTTAGTGTAAAAGGGAAAAAATACAGATAGTATAAAAATATGAAATAACAAAATTTTTTATTATAATAAAGAATATTAATTATATTGTAAGATATAAATGTTACTGTAGCTTAGAAGTGAAACTGTTTTTTTTTCGCAAAACCCATCACTATATGAATCGACCGATATAGTTAGATAAATCAAACGAACGGGATTTTGCAAATCGCAACAACTAGATAAATAAATTATTATCTGATTGACAAAAAAATTTGTAACTATTAAAATTCCCTCATACCATTATTATTTATCTCAACCTCATCATCTGATTTTAAAATTCCGATAAAATTTATCATCTTCAACAAATTTATAAAATGGATGGTCATTATTTTGGATTACTATTTCAACACCAACTCAAAAGATTTATATAACAAGTTCTGTAGAAATAGCTATATCAGTGGAAAGTAAAAATGTCTTTCTTGACAACTCATAAATTTTTCGATCCTGTATATGCGATGTGCAAATCCAGAATATTTTGCATTCCTATTGTAACCATCGTAAGGGAGAGCTTGATACTGTCATGCTCCGATGGTTGACGTTAAAGGGTCACAACTAGAGATGGGCAAATCGCGGTTTTTTCAAAAATCCTGCGCGGGATAGAATTACCAGTCTGCAGATTTTTTAATTTTCGCATTTAATAAAAAAAACCGTACAGAATTTATTATTGAAAATTAATTTTCTTGTTCGAATCAGTTATTTCTTATAAGTCTTATTATAAATAAATTAATTAGAAATTGCCTAGATAGTTAATGCAAGCCAGATATTATATTAATGCCGGCCAGATAGTTTGGTAATGCCGGCCAGATAATTTTATTTGGGACCATATTAAAAATCCCGCATGGGATCCAAAAAATCACGCGCGTGCCCATCTCTACCCACAACTCACAACAGGGTCTACACGGGCGATTCCCAAACGTGGCAGAAGCTCTCTGATGGGCTCACTCAACTGCAGCGTAACTTACACCCACGTACATTCAGCAGAGAAATGCTAAGCAAGTAAAAAAAGACTCACCAAGTCTAACTTCATTTTCGCGAGATTTGTGTTGATGTCAAAGAAATCTTCAAATTCTCGTTAGTCTTGTCCTATTGTGAAAAAAATAATAATAATAATTAGTGTTGCTTGTGCCTCATCATGCCCGCGCCGTGGTCAATCCAGGACCAGCGCCAGAATTACAAGTGTAAACATAATCCTAACAGAAAATCAGAAAGAAAGAAACCAAGTATACAAAAAGAAAGAAAACACGAACTATGTTTATAGTGGTAACGCTAGTTCAAGCCCAACAAGCCCACAACTCACAACAGGGTCTATACAGGTGATTTCCAAATGTGGCCGAGCTCTCCGATGGGCTCACTCAACCGCAGCGTAACTTACACCCCGCGTACATTCAGCAGAGAAACGCTAAGCGAGTAAAAAAAAACTCACCAAGTCCCAACTTCATTTTCGCGAGATTCGTGTTGACGTTAAAGAAATCTTTGAATTACTTGTTGTAATTATTTGTTGGTCTTGTCCTGTTGTAAAAAAATAATAATAATAGTTAGCGTTGCTTGTGCCTCATCATGCCCGCGCCATGGTCAATCCAGAACCAGCGCCAAAATTACAAGTATAAACATAATCCTAACAGAAAATCAGAAAGAAAGAAACCAAGTATACAAAAAGAAAGAAAATGTGAACTATGTTTATAGTGATAACGCTAGTTCAAGCCCAACAAGCCCCACAACTCACAACAGGGTTTACATGGGCGATTCCCAAACGTGGCCAAGCTCTCCGATGGGCTCACTCAACCACAGCATAACTTACACCCCATGTATATTTAGCAGAGAAACGCTAAACGAGTAAAAAAAGACTCACCAAGTCTAACTTCATTTTCGCGAGATTCGTGTTGATGTCAAAGAAATCTTCGAATTACTTGTTGTAATTATTCGTTGGTCTTGTTCTGTTGTGGAAAAAAAAAATAATTAGCGTTGCTTGTGCCTCATCATGCCCGCGCCGTGGTCAATCCAGGACCAGCGCCAGAATTACAAGTGTAAACATAATCCTAACAGAAAATCAGAAAGAAAGAAACTAAGTATACAAAGAGAAAGAAAACACGAACTATGTTTATAGTGGTAACGCTAGTTCAAGTCCAACAAGCTCCACAACTCACAACAGGGTCTACACGGGCGATTCCCAAACATGGCAGAGGCTCTCCGATGGGCTCACTCAACTGCAGCGTAACTTATACCCCGCATATATTCAGCAGAAAAACGCTAAGCGAGTAATAAAAAACTCACCAAGTCCAACTTCATTTTCGCGAGATTCGTGTTGACGTCAAAGAAATCTTCGAATTACTTGTTGTAATTATTCGTTGGTCTTGTCCTGTTGTGAAAAAAATAATAATAATTAGCATTGCTTGTGCCTCATCATGCCCGCACCAGGACTAGTGCCAGAATTACAAATATAAACATAATCCTAACAGAAAAATAGAAAGAAAGAAACCAAGTATACAAAAAGAAAGAAAACATGAACTATGTTTACAGTGGTAACGCTAGTTCAAGCCCAACAAGCCCTACAACTCACAACAGGGTCTATATAGGTGATTTCCAAACGTGGCCGAGCTCTCCGATGGGCTCACTCAACTGCAGCGTAACTTACACCCCGCATACATTCAGCAGAAAAACACTAAGCGAGTAAAAAAAAAACTCACCAAGTCCAACTTTACTTTCGTGAGCCATTTCTTATATTCAGATTCATTTTAAGACAATAAACAATAGTAATTGTTTGTGGGAAAAAGAAAAGATTGGCGAGTAGAATGGCTTTATATGCAAAAAAATTAATTATAAACAGGACATAGAAAATTATATAAAGTACAATATAACGAGGCTAATTTCTATTTTTGTTTAATAAACACACATAAAATCAATACAGCCTATGATCAGCGAAAATATTTGGTTATTTTAGAAATCAGTTGCAATTTGTGCAAGAGCAATTTCCTTTTTAATCACGATATGAGTCAGTACACAGCAAAACGAGGTTTAGACATTTTGATCAAAGTCGAGATTTTTACCGGATCATATTTCTAAATATGTGATTTATTCACAGTAAATGTTTTAGCCCGCATTAGCATAATAAAATTTTGTACAATTTTGTATGCAGTATTTTTTTTATCTATATACTATATTATATTTTAATTGATTAAATATCGATATCTACAAATAAAAAATTTGTCCCGAAGCCCCTTTTTGCTGTGTACTGACCTATATGTGTAATTTGTTAGCGCTTAAAGAGAAACCGTTTGCAATTTGTGCAAGAGCAATTTTCTTTTTAATTTGTGCAAGAGTAATTATGATATGCGAAATCTGTTATAGTATACCCCTATAAAAAAGACCCGGGTACTATTCATGGGTTCAAATTTCAAAAAATTAAATAAGACCCGGGTATTATTCTATAGAAATTTATATTTGAAGTTCTTATTACAGTATTACAGCTAATTTCAATTATTGTCAGGATGGCGGGTAGTGGGTATTATTTAGAACTTGCTTGTGTATTGTGTATTTATTATTGTCGCGTAGCAAAATAATACAAAAGTTACACATTTTGACCAAAAATAGTTACCTTTCATAAACATTATGAAGATCACATCAAAAATGTAACTTGGAAATTTTTGCCTGTCCGCACGCGTGTTCAGATTGTAATTAAAACATGCATATTCACGCGTTTTTGTAATATGGTAAATCAGGAAATAAAATTTATTAGTTAAATTTATTTCCTGGGGGTTTTCACATTTCACATTTTCTACAGGGGATCCCAAATTTCCGGGTCGTAATGGCTGGAATGCGTCGTGGTTAGGGTCAGCAGGAGCTATAGGCTATATAGTAAAATTATCAGCTGGGCACTTTTCACTTAATGAACGACTATTGTTTCATTAGTAAAATTCTTAGTGATCTT